ATAACACAACGCTTTCTCACTACACTGTTCGGCATTAGGTCATTAACTAAAACCGCTCATATTGAACAGTTATATACCTTTTATTACACGCTAATGGTATTTTCGTTAAGTTTGTCTAAGATTAATCACTATTGAAACTTACAACTCAAATTATTAACTATAAGGACACTTACGAGGGTTATATCTGTCGTCACAAGTGTAAAAATCGCCATGGCCGCACCGTGAGGTTTTGCACCAGCGGTCATTAACAACTATTTCATCCTTAACAGGGCTTTTATTATAGAGCCAAGTAAGAAGTTCTGTTGCTTTCCAATACCTACAACATGCTTCCCACTCTCCATCTAGCCATAACACAGATGGTTTATAGTCCCTGATTAATTGTTTAATATCTTTCCATACCAGTTTGTCAACGTAAGTGGTATTTAGGAAAAGTTCGTCTTTGTCTTTCAAATACATCTCGTTGTGCCATTCGAGCAAAGAGTAATATGCACCAAATTTCATGTTGTATTTTCGAATTGACTGTGAAAGTTCGTTTACGATATCTTTCTTAGGTCCAGTTTCCACCGAATTCCAACCGGGAGCCCCTGATTTTGATGGAAATAAAGCGAAGCCTTCGTGATGCTTAGTAGTGAAAACGACATATCTGAAATTTTGTCATAATTTCGCTATACAATTTGAATTTACACAGTTCTTATAGTAAATATTATTATATTAGGTATTGAGTTGAATATGTAGATCCCAGCGTGATGTTTATGGTAATTTCCTAAAGACACCATATCAAACAGGAAATCCATAGTACATACATTGACCATAGGCACTACACGATCTCAAAATAAATCTGACCTGGAATCGTTCGGTTGGATATCGTTCTCGAATCGAAGGGCGCTTTCGAAGCTATTCAGAACATTCGAGTTATACGTCCGATTTGGATTCGGATACGATATCATTATCCAACAGCGTTTACGGAGTTAGTCGGTGAAATAGATTATAAGAAAAATGAAAATCCTTGCATATACATTTTTAAGACTTTAAAGTCCTAAAATAGTGACATTTGACATTTTGAGAATCTGGCATTTTGCTAATCTGGCATTCTCCGAACCTGTCATTTTACGAATCTGGCATTTTGTGAATCTGTCATTCTGCCTGTTTGGCATTTTGCGTTTCTTGCATAATGCGTCAAAACGTAATAAATTGTAACTTAATCCAGACTTTATTTAAAATAATAAGAGATTTCCATATTACATTCTTGCTTTGTAGACAATAGGACATTCGGTAACATTAATTCGATAACTGTGTTCTGAATAACGTTTGTAGCCTTTGCCGGTCGAGAAGTTCGAGTTCGAGTTCGAGTTAATCATACGGGTGTGACGTCATTTTGGTTCGGTTACAAATATTACAGTTTGACGTTCGATTCGGTTGTTGTGCATAAAAATTAAAAGAAGTCGTACGATATCAAATCGAATCGGTCGGCAACGTAGTTATCGTAAGGTTCTGCAGGGTTATGTAACGATCTCTCAGGACTATTATTATTAATACCATAAACAACAATTTGGTTCCACGACTTTTTAAAAAGACCAGCCTCTAAAGTCATTCACCCCTAGATTGCCACCCTTAGACGTGGAAGATGTTCTTCAAATTTAAATGGGACCATTACTGAGGTGGGTACCTCAGTAATGGTCTCAAACCTCTTTAAAAAAAAAAAATAAGCAACGAAATCGGTTCACAAATGCGGAGTTATCGCGTAACATACATACAAAAAATGAGGACCTCCTTTTAAGTCGGTTAAAAATTACTTTTGTTGTACTATCTGATACTTTTAGATCTGTATTCAGTGGTAAGGCAAGGTCAAATGTGCAAGCATTCTCTACGATGACTCCCACCTCCGCCACAGAGTTATTGCGTTTAAATGTATTTATTTTTGGATGACAAATCTCATTAATTATTAAAAGATGCTATTTATATGCTACTGCATAACTGCTAAATAAGCTTGAACGATTGCAAAATCTATGTGAAAGGTTCATCTTTGTCCTTCGTAAATAATGATCTCAAACTATCACAGTCAGCTCAAGTGGCTTCCAATTCGTCTCCGCAGGAATTTGCATATCGTCTCTCTTCTTTACAACATTCTCCATAATCCCTTGTTTCCTAGGTATCTGAAAGAGCGTTTCAGCTTTTTAAGATCCCAGGATAAGCCTTCGTTAAATCCCAGTTATCTTTTCCATCATTCAATTTTCGGTTTTTGTTTTCACTCCTGTACTGTTCATGCGGTCGGACTTTGGAACGCACTTCCCATTACTGTACATGATAGTGAATCCTTAACTATCTTTAAAACGCGAGTCAAGGTGCACTATTTATCCTCTATTCCATCCATTTTATTGATTTCATAATATGAAATATGAATTTATCTAAGTATTTATATAGTCTGTAGTAATTTAATATTTTTACTATTTTTTTAAAATTATTTTGTTACATAATTTAATTTTAGGTTTTCTTGTGCACGTAAACCCATTATTGTAATTATTGTGTCTTGTATTTTGGTCTGCAGGAAGAAATTTCTTATATGTAGAAAGAAGCAGTATATTTGTTTATGTTTTCCGTTTTACTACATGTGATTAGTGTTTTCCTGTACAATAAATAATTAAATAAATAAAGTTGTGGAACAAACGTTGTTGTTTGTGATGTTAGTAATATAGTCATGCGAGGTTGCTAGTATTTTACAAATACAGTTGAGCCGTTCCCTATCGTGGTAAAAACTATTAAATAATAAAAATCTAAACAAGTTATAAAGAAAAGTGAAAACAAACTTTGCTCCAGCTTTGGAAAAAAGTTCTGCCCAAAAGTCAGGTTCGAAGGATTCGGCTTTGAACAACGATGCAAAATTTTCATATTGAAAATCACTAGAGTAGTTATTCTTCATAAAGTCTATCATGTCAGTGTTACCTGGAACATGGACAATTATACACAATTCGTGAATATCAAATGAAAATCATAAAATAATACGAATTATACTTATATATTATATTAGATATATAGCCCTTTTTATACAATAGTGTATTAAATTAAGTATGTTTTTTTTACAATCGATGAAAAACGAAACTTAATTCCCGTGAGTTATTTTTGAAATTTATGAATAGGTTAAAGTTTTGTTTACACAACTACATTTCCTACTTCGTAAATATATTTAGAAATAAAAGGGAAAAAATCATTTCATATTTTTGAGTAAGGACTGTTTTCTCCAGAACTAGCTCAGAAAAAGTTTGACTCATTTTGAGTTAAGTAGATATCTTTTAATTGTTTCTTACAATATATTAACGACGGTTTTATTGAATAAAAGTTTACGTTCAGTAGTAACATAATTTTGAATTTCACGTATTTTGAGATACAACACAGTAATAACAGGACGATATTTGAAATTTGATAACTCTCTTGATATATCAAATAAATATATCATTGAAAAGTTTTTTTGGGGCCTTAATAGTCTTATTCGAGGGTGAGAGTCCAATTTTTAGATCAATTCTTGCTCATAGTATACTAAATATTAAACGTTATTTACTCAAGTATCATCACTTAATTGCACAAGAGTCGACTAACTTGAATGCTTCATTAATGCTGTCTCAAGTTTTGCCTCGATACAGTAAAAGACAGTATTAAGTGTCTAGATATACTACCTCAAATGGCTTTGGTTGATTCCGTATAACAGCGAAAGTGTTGAATCAATAACTTTGGAAAAAATAAAGCATATGCTAAAGTATATGCTGATTATTAATATTATTATTACTATATGGTGTGAAAACAACACGATTTCTAAAAGTTTTCACAATGGAAAAAAAACACAAACTTACTTCGAAATTTTACAAGAAAACCGTTGTATTCAATAGGTACTTTATATATACCAATGATTTCTTTTTTATATCAACCAAATTAAATAGCACTAATAATAAATTCTGAAATAAAGCCAACGGCCCCGCCGCTCGACCTAAGCAAAATGAACCGTATTAGTACGGGATAAATTCGAATTCGAGCTAATGACTCTTAAAGTTAAGGTGTATGCCTAAAAAAACCTTTTAGCAATTTTCTCTGTATCTCTGCCTCACTAGAACTACGTACATAATGACAAGAAAATTGGTTCCAAATACTAGAGTGCCCTGAAGGCAGAATACGTAGGATCCCAAATCCTATTGTAATAATAACATTCATAATCGTATATAATGATATTATTTACCGTTGTCCAACATACTCCAGAGCCATTCCCCTTTAGCTGGTACAGAATACAATCCCCAATGGATAAAAATGCCAATTTTTCCGACGTCGTACCACAACGGTAGAGGACGGGAATCTAAATGTTCCCATTTCGAAGCATACGGTCTGTTTTCAGCGAAAACTCTGAGAACCATGCTTAAAAGTATTGTCCACATGATGAATCTGCAAAAAGATCAAGATTTTTCTTGTACTACTACTTATCATCAACCAACTATTATTACATCAGGATTATTATTAGGTCTAACGCGGGCCTAATGCAAGGGGCCTACCACAACCTCTTAAAACAATATTACTTTAACTTTACATTGACTTTTCGTACCATGACGCTATTGACTTACAATTATATGGACGTCGGGTCCGCGCTAAAAAGTGTCCGAACTTATAGGGCGTTAAAATCGTATACATAGCGTCATTCACGCTTTAGTCTTCGTTTGTTCGACTGACAGCGAAGCAAGCAAAGTTAGACAGTACTGCGATGACATTACAATTTAAATTCAACGTTTTAGCTTTTTCATATACCTTTACATGTCATTACGTTTAAATAGGTGACTGTGACTGCACTGTTGAAGGTAACAGATGATATTCGCCTCGCAATGGACAATGGTCTTCTCACTTTGCTTATACTTCTGGACTTCAGCAGTGTGGTGTTCTTTCCCCTCTCCTTTTCTCTGTTTTCATCAATTCTGTCACTTTTGTGCTGTCTTCAAACTTTCATCTCTATGCTGAAGATTTGCAGCTATACCGCAGTTTTAAAGCGTCTGTGCGATATGTTTAGTCCAAACACTTATTTTGCCCTTCTTAGACTATGCTGATTCCTGCTATTTGGATGCTACTGAAGAACTGCTAAATAAGCTTGAACGACTGCAAAACCTACGTATAAGGTTCATCTTTGGGCTTCGTAAATATGACCGAATTTCACATTTCCGCAGGCAGCTCAAATGGCTTCCCATCCGTCTCCGCAGGAATTTGCATATTGTCTCCATTCTTTACAATATTTTACATAACCCTGTGTCTCCCGGGTACCTGAAAGAGCGTTTCAACTTCCTTAGGTCCCAGGATAAACCCTGTCGCTCTCTTGTTAGGTCCCAGTTATCTTTTCCATGCTTCAATTCCGGTTTCTATTCTCACTCCTTCACTGTTCATGCGGTCAGACTTTGAAATGCACTTCCTATTACTGATCACGAAAGTAAATCGTTAGCTATTTTTAAAGTGAGAGTTAAAGAGCATTATTTATCTACTATTCCATCCATATCTTAGGTATTATATTATAAAATATGTATTTATCTAAGTATTTATGTAATTTATAACAATTTAATATTTTTATATTATTTTTATTTTTTTTTTCCTTGTTTTGTTGTGCACATATGCCCTTTCTTTTAGTTATAGTGTCCTGTATTTAGGTCTGCGGAGAGAAATTTCTATTAGAAATAAGCAGAACCTTTTGTTTTTAATTTCGCTCGTATTCTTTGTGACTTGTTGTATTTTTCCTGTACAATAAACTATTAAATAAATAAATAAATAAATAGGTTGACTTGGGACATTTTTTTCGTGATTTTTGTATTAGACCCATCGTCCATTTATTTGTAGGTCAATGCATGACGCGCTTAAAGTAAGCTTCTTATAATGTTAAAGCTACAATGTTTTATTTGCAGCTTTGTGACTATTCATTCAATTAATTCGTACTATGACGTGACTTTAACATTAAAGTAATATTTTTCTTATGTCAAATTTAGCAATCTTAAAATAGTTACATGGATGCAATGAAAATAATATTATTTTCAGTTTGCTGTTTGCTGACATGTTCATAGCGAAGCTTCGCCATTATAGTTAGCGATGAATGTATGCAGAATGGCATGTTCTGATTTGAAATATGCAGTACAACGCAGCGTCACAATGCAACGCTGACGCAACGCATCGTGTGGCATCGCTCTAAGATATCAGAAAATTTTTCTAGTAATATAATCAATAACCATTCAATTCAACTTCACATATTTTAAAAGCAAGTGTAAAAACTTACCAATTTTTATTAATAAGGCCACAACACATTCAACACTGGTGTTACTCTGTATGGTTATAAATGTATGATATTCTACCTATCTGTCCGCAGAAAACAATGTGAAGTATCGCATTATTGAGGTAGGTAATTTTAAGCAATTGTTAAATTTTCAATGTATACTATTAATACAAAATTTAAATAGCAAAAATTTTGATTGTGACAATAGGCTGCGTATAAAAATTATGTCCATGATGTGTCCATGTGAAAGTTTCTTTGTCCAGGGGAGTACTGCCACCTTACCTATTTCTGTCGCCAAGCAGTAATATGAGCATTAATACGGTCAGGTTTTGAAGAGTAAGGGTGCTGGTGAAAATACAGGCATCTAGGACTTGTCAACTTATGTCTCAGGATGACGGGAGCAGTGTGAGTGCCCTTTAGATCTTTAAAGATCTGAGTGGCAATGGAACTGTGATGGACAGGCGTGAAACTTACCATCAGGGGCACGACTTGTTCATCCCGTTACTTGATATTAAAAAAATATATATATTAAACAGTCAAAAACCAAACAGTCAATCGAAATAATTTTATTTGGAAGTTCTGTAAATTCAATACCTACGTTTGTTAATACTTGGCCAGAGAAAAGGAAATTTGAAAATAATAAACGAAATATGAACTTTACATTTTAGACATCTTAACACAAATTTAAAAAATTCCAAAATAGAAACATTACAGAGTAGCAAAAAACTTAGCAGCTCAAATATCTACCAAAAGGGCGGACTACCGGCGTTTCAGCAAGAAAATAGTATTTTAGGTTACCTATCAGCGGTCCGAAATGACATTTTCCAGAAATAACGTTTGCTCGATTTTTCATAACCTCGGAAGTAAGTTTGAGAGGAAAATGTTTTTTCTTTTAAACCTTTTTTTATTATTGTGAGGAAAATGCATTACGCATTCCCCGCCGCTGGAAGACGGCGGGGATGTATGGGACTCGATCCTGGAGACTATGTCGATCCCCGGGAGCATACCCACTAAACAACTCACAATGCTCCTCTTCCCACCGTGGTGCCGGAGAACGTCATGACGACGAATCCCCAGCACCTTAATCTAACCTAACCGAACCTATTAGTGTGTTTGCGATAAACATGCAACATATCCCGATTGGCTAGCTCGAGTTCGAAACAATTGACGGGTGTCGTCAATGGGTGTCATCAACTGTTTCACTTCAAATCGACCAGTATGGACGAATATTGCAAAATTACATATTTAATTACCGATGAAATTTGATTCCGTTTGTTTTGTAATTAGATGTTTTGCTGTTTTTCCCACACCATCGAATAGAACGGCATGGCATTGTTAGAGACATTATCTTTATTACAATAAATACAGTATATTTTTTTGGAATATACGGAGACGTACACACAGGTCAGTAGTTGGCATGTCTATATTTCAGTGCAAACGAGAATTGATATTTATAAGAGCTGTATCGCTAATGTGTTACCAGGAATATATGGCCCTTATTTCGTCTCTATTTCTGGTTATATACTCGATGTTTATAACCAATTAAAATTGTGTCACCTTAGTACTAATCTAAGACTACGTTTTTAAATGTGTGCGTGTGGCAACATCGGTTTTGATACTAATGTCGCTTGACGCCATTTCCACTCTTTTTTTACTCCCGTGGGGTTTCCCTATTGCGGGGCTATGAGTGTGTGTGTTAAAAAATCTTCATTAAAATATACTGAACAAATTCTACTACAGTTCGTAAGAAACTAGTTCTTTTAGCTTGTCCAGTCCAGTCCCTATCTACTGACCCGAGAGATAGGTTTTTCCGTAGAGACTACGGGCTCGACGGGCGTCCGAACCAAGCCCTCCGCTAGTCATACGCCTTCACGGGCGTCTTTATTGGACCCGGATTTGGGTATGGACTCGCTGGGGTTTGCAGCTGCAGAGACGAATACGTTCGTCTACCCCGGTGGTGTGTGTCAGGAGCGTTCGTCCCGCGTGTGTTAGAAAAAATCATATTTGTGTCTACTAATTACTAGATTCTATTATAAAAATGTAAAACTTCTATGAAATTGAAAAGCATAATTTTAGTAAACCATATTTATTTCCATTAGAGGGTAGTACAAAATTAGATGTACATAGTAAAAATTGTTTGCGAACTAATTTTAAAAACAAAATGAAAAGCAGTACTTTCAAAAACATGACTCAGTTTTAATTTATAGAGTTGGTACAAAACAATATTGTTGTAATTTAGTTGTAGTAAAAAAGTAATTTGAGGAACAGGATAAACAAAGTAAAAGTAATAGGACTTCTAAAAGGATGGATTTAACGTACTAGTTAATACAGAATTATGGCTGTGCTAGAAAAAGGAAATTAATTAAAATGGACAAGTTAAAACAACAACTACTTATAAAGGATTGCAAGACATCATAATCACACATTTAGGTACATAAACTATTCCAAAGCGTAGTAGCAATAATTTACATTATTGCTACCAAGCAAAGATACCTTACTTATACATATTTACACAACACAATTAGACAGTAGCAATAGAACAAGTTACAAAGCAGGTAGGTACTTAACTTTAGCTGGTTATCGGTTCGGCACTTTTTCTGTCTCCTCCAGCTTTACAATCCTTTTTATACACTTCAAAACCTCCATTGAAATTCCTTCATACATACATACTATTTTGACCAATCACAAAATAATTATCGCTTACATTTGTAGTGCTGAAGAAAATGAAAGCTTTTACCTAACAAGTTGTTCAAACATATTTTAAGAACTATAACAGTTATAGGAACCTCATAGTTGTCTTAATTAAACAAATATCATTAATTTTATACACCATAATATCGTCCAATCAAAGAGCAGTATTTCTTGACTCACTTGGTTGAGCATAAATGTTATGCATTACAAAGGTATAAAGTAACAAAGGCAATACATATTTAATTACTGTAATAATTATATAAACCTCGTAATTATCTTAATTTAGCAAATATCATCAATTTTATATACCATAATATCGTCCAATCACAGAGCAGCATTGTTCAGTACACTTGGTTGAACATTTAATAAATGTTATACAGTACTAAGATGTAAAGTAAAAACTTAAAGAATATTTTAATGAGTGTAGCC